TTCATATTCTAATTATTAAGTAATTTCCTAATCCTAAATACTAGTTTTCTAAAATCCATCCCCGGGCCCACGTGCCCGGATTCCGGAAATTCTCGAGGGAAGTTGTTACCCATAACCTAAGGATCAAGAATATATGATTTTTACTTTATTTCATAAAAGAATTCGTGATAAAATCTTGTTTTTATCAAAACCCTAGGTCTTACTTTTAAACCATAATTTTTACTAATTTACAAGGTATAATCTACCCCTAAACTATGTATTAAACTCACATTATATAGAAATAACTTACCTCACAATGCTAAGCCGAAATCCCCTCTTTGGAAGCTCCCAAATCGCCCAAACAATGAGTGAAATGTGTCAAAAATGACACATTCCCGTATTAAATGAAGGCACTGCCTTCAGCGATTTCTGCACCTGCGGTTAGGGGACCGCATTTGCGGTCTCGCTTCTGCGAGGGAAGGTCCGCATCTGCAGAATTGGACCAGCTTGAGTGGGACCGCATCTGCGGTCCAGGGGACTCTTCTGCGCTTCCGCTTCTGCGGAAGAGGAGCCGCATCTGCGGTTCCTGGCTCCTCCCCCTTGGGCCGCACTTGCGAAGGGTGACCGCTTTTGTGGTCCGCACCTGCGACTGGCCAACCGCAGGTGCGGTTATGATAGCAACCTATAGCTTCAGCTCTTTCCAAAATTTTCTAACTCAACTCGAGCCTCGTCCAATTGACGCTCGGGGCCCTCGGGTCCCCGCCCGAACATACCGACAAGTTTAAAACCATAAAACGGACTCGCTCGAACCCTCGGAACGCCCGAAACAACACTAAATCTAAGAATCACGCCCTAAAACCAATTGAATCAAACTTATGAACTTCAATTTCTTCAATTCACATCCAATGCGACGAAACACACTTATACTACACGGATTGACACCAAAGTTTGCGTGCAAGTCTTAAATGACAATACGAAACTATTCCCGGTCTCGGAATTCTGTTCGGACCTCGATAACACAAAAACCCACTCCAAACCAAATATTTAAGAACTTCAAAATCCTTAAGGAATCAACTTTCACTATTAGGTGCCAAAAACGCTCCCGGGTCATCCAAAACCCGATCCGGACATACGCCCAAGTCCGAAATCATCATACGAACCTGTTGGAACCTTCAAATTTAGATTCCGCGGTCGTTTACTCAAAATAATGACTGAAGTCAAACTTGGCCTTTTAAGCCAACCTTAAGGAACCAAGTGTTCCGATTTCAACCCAAACTCTTCCAAATCCCGAACCAACCATCCCCGCTAGTCATAAATCGGTAAAAGCAAGTACGGGAAGTCTTATTTAGGGGAACGGGGTACTAGAAAGCAAAACGACCAGTCGGGTCGTTACATTCTCCACCTCTTAAATAAAAGTTCGTCCTCGAACGGGTTTAGATTCATACCTGAAGTGCTGAATAAGTGCGGATATCTGCTCCGCATGTCCTCCTCGGACTCCCAGGTCACCTCCTCGACTGGTTGGCCCCTCCACTGGACCTTTACTGCAGAAATCTTCTTGGATCTCAACTGGCGATCCTGTCTATCCACAATGGCAACCGGTTCCTCCTCGTAACCCAAGTTCTCATCTAGCTGAATAGTACTGAAGTCTAACACATGAGACAAGTCGGCGTGATACCTCCGAAGCATAGATACGTGAAAAACTGGATGGACTCCCGATAAGCTGGGAGGTAAAGCAAGCTCATAAGTAACCTCCCCAACTCGCCTCAACACCTCAAATGGGCCTATAAACCTGGGGCTCAACTTGCCCTTCTTTCCGAATCTCATAATCCCCTTCATCGGTGAGACTTTCAAGAGAACCTTCTCGCCGACCATGAATGATACATCCCGTGTCTTCTGGTCTGCATAACTCTTCTGTCTGGACTGAGCTGTGCGAAGTCTCTCCTGAATCAACTTTACCTTCTCCATGGCATCTCTCACAAATCCGTACCATACAACTTAGCCTCACTAGGCTCAAACCACCCGATAGGATAACGACAACGCCGACCATATGAAGCCTCAAATGGAGCCATCTCGATGCTGGACTGATAACTGTTGTTGTAAGCAAACTCGGCCAAAGGCAAGAACTGATCCACTGTCCTCCAAATTCAATCACACATGCTCTAAGCATGTCCTCCAGAATCTGAACTGTCCGCTCCGACTGCCCGTCGGTCTGCGGGTGAAACGTTGTGCTGAGCTCTACACGGGTCCCCAACTCACTCTGTACGGCTCTCCAAAAATGGGAAGTGAACTGAGGGCCTCTATCTGATATGATGGAAACAGGCACACCGTGCAACCGAACTATCTCCCGAATGTAGATCTGAGCCAACCTCTCTGAATTATAAGTAGTCACTACCGGAATGAAGTGTGCCGACTTGGTCAACCTGTCAACAACGACCCAAACTGCATCAAACTTCTGTAATGTCCGCGGCAACCCAACAACGAAGTCCATAGTAATGCGCTCCCACTTCCACTCCGGTATAGGCATCTGCTAAAGTAGGCCACCTGGCCTCTGGTGCTCATACTTAACCTGCTGGCAATTCAAACACCTAGCCACGTGCTCCACTATGTCTTTCTTCATCCGCCGCCACCAATAATGCTGCCTCAGGTCACGGTAGATCTTCGTAGCACCTGGATGAATAGAATACCGCGAACTGTACGCCTCCTCTAGAATCCTCTCCCTCAAGCCATCGACATTAGGAACGCATAGGCGACCTTGGAGTCGCAGAGCACCATCCTCGCCAATAGAAACCTCCTTGGCACCACCCTGTAGCACTGTCTCTCGCAGAACTGCCAAATGCGGATCATCGAACTGCCGAGCCTTGATCTGCCCCAATAATGAAGACTGAGCAACAACACACGCAAGGACTCGGCTGGGCTCAGTATCTAGAGTCAATAGATTTAAAATAAGCATAATCTTATTGTATATTACATTTTGTTCCTTTTTTGCATATGTTTATATAATTCGAGCTAGAAGGAATAAGTTAAACTAAACCCACCGATCGATCTACATGTGGTAACAACAGATTCTTATAGCTGTTGGCATGTAAAATGAAGTTGGTTATAAGTTCAATTGTAAACGGATTTATTTTAAAATTAAACAAATACAATCAAACTCCTCTGTAACAGTCATCTTCTATAACAACACTTCATTATAATAGTCAAGTTTTCTTTCGAACCAATACTTCATGTTATGCTATAATGTTCTCTCTAACAACATTTTACTATAGCAGCCAAAAATATCCAAAACAAACAAGGTTGTTGTAGAGAGGTTTGATGGTATATGTTATATGCACATATGCCTGCTTGGATCGGCATATAATTAATAGTAATACAATTGGTATTCATATTATTATTTTTCTCATATTAATATGAATAGCCATAATATAATAATTGATGTCCACTAGGTACTCTCAAGTCTTTATCAATTGCAAGCTGGCCATTTTCCAACATTTTAAATCTGTCCAGAAAATGTTGTTGGATTCCTCTGCTATTTTTGCAAGCTGGTGTTAACTTTACTAAAGCTTTTGCAAACCCTACTTGACTTTTAAGCATCCTCACCTTATCAAAATGGTCCAATTTTCCTACATATAATAATTGAAATCTTGAAAAGTTGTCTTATATAAAGGTCATTTCGTGGGCCTTTTTTTTGTTGAAAGCTTGATTTACAGTTGAAAAGAAACGAATTTGATACTAAGAAAAAAGTTGTAATGACAAAAACTTTCAATTAATTAAGATATAGTAATGCCACTTAAAGCGATTCAATCCACCTCAAATATAGATTTTAGAAGCACCAACTACCAAGTACTACAATGAATAGGTGTAAATATTATTTAAGGCAAATATCATTTTAAGGCAAATTATTTATATCTATCACCCGTAAAAGTGTATAAATTTATATATTTTTTGATCACAAACGTATATCTATACAAAAAATGTATAAAAGATATGTATTTTCGGCTATTATTTTTAGAGCGACTATACAGTGTCACTTTTCAATGTTTAATTTGTTAGAAGGGTAAACACTTTTTCTCAGTTCTCACTGATTAAGTTTTCTAAAATAGCGATGTAAGAACGTTTTCTTTTTTCGGTTTGTGAGGTAATTAATTGGAAGCAAAAAATCTGTTTATGGTGGAAAAAATCGACGATAAAATAAATAAATATGAGATCATTTTTTAATCTATTGATATATTTAGACATTGAACATTCTTTATATACCATGTCTTGTTTCTTTTTATTGAGTCGAATGTGAAAATATTTTAATTACGAGTAATACTGAAACTCAAAATCTAAGACTTCTATGTTAGGTTTTCAACAGTATCATTACATCATTGAATATTAAATAGCAATGATTAACCAACAAAGACACATATATTAGAAATCATAAGCTTGTTTTTATACTATTTTTATTTTATCAACAACCACTTTCTTATAACCAAATTGATCTCAACAACAAAGAATTAGCTTCATTATGATTCACTTGCTTTTTTTTTTAAGTAATTCTCATTCCACTTGAGTTTTAAGAGCTTAATTTGAACTTATATTGAATTAAATACTCTTAGAGATCATCATTTTAACATGTTTAAACCTCGATCAACTCACCGTCTACTCGAGACCAACAACAACAATAACATACTCGTAAGTGGGGTCCATCTACTCGAGATGGAAGAAAAGAAATTGTGTATCATATATTCATATTTATGCTTGCATGGAGCACAAAATGGTGGATGCTAAAAGGAATAATAGATTTAAATAGGGGTATTATCACTTTTAGCTCGCATCAGAAATTATTTATATATGGTAGCCCAAAAAGTGTATAATTTTTGTATATAACATACAGAATTGTTATATATAAAAATTATACAAATTTTATACACTCTTTAGGCTATTATTTTTTCAGCGGCTATACAGTGGCATTTTTCTATTTAAATTGCTACACCAAAGAATTAAATTATAAAAAAGAATAATCTTTTATATCATGAAAATGACAATGATTAACAAAGTGCTTTTATTATAAAATATTTAACGAATTATATAACAAGACAGTAACCAGTCATCTGGTCACCAAAATTATTTTCTCTATAAACTTTTCTATTAAAAGTGAGCCTTATGCATTGTTTTTTGTATCTATGATAATAACATGCAAAAGGATAGCCAGATGGATCCAAACTTTGTTCTGGAAACTTGAAGAAGAACCCCATTAAAAGGTGGCATGGGCCCAGACAACGGCCCACAGAATGGGCCCACTCTCTTGTCAAGATTACATAATTGAGCATCCAGCTGCATTCTCTTCGCTGAAATATTCATTGCATTTGCTTACGTAACAGCCTTTTGGGAGCCCATATGGAACAGGCCCGGGCCCGTAACCATACGAATACGTATCGTAGCATGGGCCCGGTGGTGGGGCGGGTTGTACTGGTCTTCCGTACCAATGATAACATGGGCCTCCATGATAGCATTCGTAACATTGCCCACAACAACCATATCCTGAAGGAGGCTGTTGCGGGTATCCATGTTGCGGGTATCCTTGTACTGGCATCACTATCACTGGCTCTGGAGCATATGGTGGTGGTGCTTGTGCTTGTGGTTGTGGTGGTGGAGCTACTGGTGCGGGTTTAGGAGCTTCCTTAGGCTTCTCAGGTTCTTTGGGCTTCTCGGGTTCCTTGGGCTTCTCGGGTTCCTTGGGTTTCGCGGGTTCTTTTGGTTTTTCCGGTTCTTTCGGCTTCTTAGGCTTCACGGGCTCATTGGGCTTCTCGGGCTGCTTGGGCTTTTCTGGCTCTTTAGGCTTCTCAGGCACTTTGAGCTTCTCAGGCTCCTTAGGCTTCTCAGGCACTTTAGGCTTCTCCGGTTCTTTAGGTTTTGCGGGCTCCTTGGGCTTTTCGGGCTCTTTGGGCTTTTCAGGAGCCTTAGGCTTTGAAGGCTCTTTGATCTCGATACTCTTGATCACTCCCCCTCCTTTGCAACACAATTTGTCACGAATTCTTTCAGGATTGCAACACAATACAGTAATGGTGATAGTATTGGCCTTCTCATCATACACCTGATCTCGAATTTCTTTTTTCCAAAATATTTAATACCACACACCAAAAAGGGATAAAAGAGAAAAAACCAAACTCAGTTCTCATCCATACATATTCTTGTCCTTAATAGTAGTATCCTCATTATTCATTGAAATATAAAAATGAAAAAGTGAAATTTCAAAGGAAAATTTTGCTGTAAATTTAGAGTTGCAAAAAGGGACTCACGAGGGAATTTGCAAAGAATTTTCTTGACCTTCTTGTAGCAGCTTGAGCATTGAAGATCAACCTTTAGCACCATTATAGTGGTCTATTTAACAAAAGAATTGTAAGTTATTGGTCAAGAAATATACTATTACAAATTTAAACAGTGACATATATAGCCATAAATTCTAAGAGATTTCAATAAATGCAAAAATATCATGCTTGAAATTCAAACATGTTACCTAATACCATTTTGAACCATCTTTGTTAATTACTACACAAATCTTCCCTTATTTAAAGGCGATTCGGTAATTTACTTTATTAGTACAGTATAATTTTCGAAGGAGGAAAAATTGAAGGAGATTGAAGAGCAAGAATACCTTCTCAGTGTTGTCACCACCCATGGTTTGAGAACTAAGACTCTGTTGAAAGTGATGATAGATCAGAATTCACATAAAAATGAATTCTTGGTGATAACTACTCTATAGGTGGGGGAAAATGGGAGGGGAAGAAAGAGAAAGAAAAGGGTTTAGTTTTATAGTATGAATATGAATGATAAAGAGATGGCTTAGGATAGAGAAAGTATAAAGTTAAAATTCATGAGATCACCAACATTGGCAGCCTCTATTGGTGGTGGGGTATATGGGGGGGGGGGGGGGGGGGAGCCTTAGATAAATAGCTCATTATTTTTGTTGTTTGTAATGGTAGTATATCTTAACTAGTTTGCCCATACTTTGATTAAAATAAGGCAGCTCGGTGCATGAAGTATTCCATGTTCACGCAGGGTCCAGAGATTGACAGCACCCCAAGGAGGTGTGACGTATGCAGTCTACCCTGAATACTTTGATTATTATGTTAATTAAATATATGTTATACGTCTCACTAGGTACAGATGTCAGGCAAGTCGATCCATCAAAACTTAGATAAATTGGAAAAAAAACACTATATCTTCACTAATTTGCACGTATTTCGACTAAAAAGACAGTACGATGCACGAGGCATCCCGCATTCACGTAGAGTTCGGGGAAGGGCAACACTGCCAGCACCCCAAGTGGGTGTGACGTAAGCAGCCAACCCTGAATACTTTAACTATTTTGCCAATTAAATATGTGTTATACCTCTCACTAGATACAGATGTCAGGCAAGTCGATTCATCAAAACTTAGGTAAATTGGAAAAAAATCGCCTAATTTTTTTTTTATTTTTTTATTTCAGCTGAAATTTGAACTCGGATCTCTCATATTAATTGCTCACTATATACTCTTCATTTGCATGTGATATTGCTTTGAAAGTCACATTTCTCCTTCCCTTTGTCTATAAGCAATAACTTTTTTTAATTGTAATAGTAAATAGTACTAGTACTAGTACTAGAAAGGTAGAGACTAGGGAAAAGAAAGCTTTAGTTTGGTTAGTGAAATAATGGAATATGCACCCCACATGCTGCTAACTAACCCTATATTGTGGTTTCTTCAGATTTGCGTATGGTCAATTCTCAAGTGCCTTTTAATGCTTCAAAATTGGAATACTTTTCATATAAAAAAAGTAATTCCTTATAATATTACAATTTTTTTTTAAAATCTAAATTATTACAGAAATTTACGTGATAAAATGTTCATATAAAATAAAACAGAGAATTATCTTATGATAAACGCAATCTTAGAAAAAGTATTTTGGCGCAACTATAAAAGTGTAGTTGTCGTACAGGTGATCGCCAGAAGATTACGAGTTCAATTTGTGAAAATAGCTTCTTATATAAATACAAAGTAAAACTACAAGATTAATTTTATGATCAAGGTGAGCAAAACTAGGTTTTCTATTAAGATGAAATTTATGACCATTTAATTTCTTGAGTGCTTAACTTGATATTTCATTCTTTTCTCAGTTCTCTCTCTCCATCATTCATAACTTGGACTAAAATAATATTAGTTTATTCTCTATTTCCTTCTCCAATACCATGAATTTATTAAGATGAATTTAATAACAATCAAATTTGTCGCTTTTGCACAGTACAGATAACAGAATCCAGTACTAGTTCATTTAAAGGCTTGAATTCCCTCCACATGGGTAGTCTCATTCCAAATAAAAAAAGTTTTCTAGCAAGAGCGAATCCAGAATTTAAGTTTATGAGTTCCTGTTGTAATATCAAATTAAATACAATAATAATTAAGTTTAGAGTTAAATATTATAAATATTTAGTAAATTTTTAATAGAAATACAAGATCTACGCAAAAGTTATTGAATTCCGGAGAACTCATATACCACTGTATCTAATATTATTTGTTAAGGATACTTGTATGTGTTAAATAAAAAGATGCGAAAATATTTGTTTTAAAGAGTTTTAAGTTCTATATGCGTAAACAAATTAAGGAATTTTTTAAAGAGTTTTAAGTTCTATATGCGCAAACAAAGTAAAGCAATGCGTATTTATTATTTAATATACAATAATATCACTTGTAAAAGTAATATATGTATATTTTAGTGATCAGTATTAAGCAGAAACCTGACAAAAATGATTGACCGCTATATATATTGCAAATAAAATTATGTTAATAAGAAAATAAGTTCTAGCAAAAAAGAAGAAGAAAAGGTTTCTTTTTTAAATAAAAACAAATAGAAAGAAGAAGAAAAGGTTAGCATCATTAATTGAATGTACCACATATGTAGTCTAATAGATTTGTTTTTTTCTTTCTTTTAAATGTATAAAACTCTTCTTCTTTTTTTGTCGGTGCATTTACATAACACTCTTCATATTATTTTATTTACTTTTTCTTGTAACTCGCGTTACATCCCCTCAGTTTAATTTATTTTGGATCATGCATGGGTTTCACTATTATTTTTTACTTGATGGAATTGTAATAACAAGTTTGTAAGACCTATGTTTTAAGAAATTATGTACGAAATGAGTTCACACTGCAAATTAATAAGACTTGTGTCGCGACCCGGATTTCCCACCCCTCGGGAATCGTGATGGCGCCTACTGATAGGAGCTAGGCAAGCCAATTAATTTAACACTTTTCTCATTATCATTAGCAAAACAAAGAAAGAACGAGGCAATTAACATAAAAGCGGAAATCTCGAAACATAAATAACAGAAACCAAGTACGGAATTTCACATACACCTCTACCTAGATCTGGTGTCACTAACTCACGAACTTCTACTGAATGCTAAATACAAAGTCTGAATGAGTATACAGTACTGTCTGATCCGATACAAGGAAAATCAAACGAAAAGCAGAGATAAGAGAGACTCCGGGCCATGCGGACGCCAGCAAGCTACCTCGGAATCTCTGGACTGAAGTAAGCTCCCAACGCTCCTACTGCTGACCAAAGGCTCCTGCTTCGGTACTATGATCTGTGCAAAAAGCACAGAAGTGTAGCATCAGCACAACCGACCCCATGTGCTGGTAAGTGCCTGGCCTAACCCCGGCGAAGTAGTGACGAGGCTAGACAGGGCCTACCAAAAACAACCTATGCAGATAAATGTATACCAGGCAACAGAAACTAACAACAGAGAATATCAACTAAAAAGGGGAAGGGGGCATGCTCGGGAAAAATACAGCGAATACAGATCAGTGGATATAACGACGAAACTATCTCAATATCTTAGCTCATATATATATAAGTGGTCGGCGCGCCACACGATCCCATTTCTTAATTCATAAGTGGACGGCGTGCCACACGATCCCATTCTCATAATATGTAAGTGGTCGGCGTACCACTCGATCCCATATTATAGTATATAAGTGGTCGGCGTGCCACACGATCCCATATTATAATTCAAAATATCTGACTTTGTAAAGAAGGCCCCATTAGGGGAATTCGACAACATAACACTTTAACCCGGCAAGGGTACAGCTAACAGCCCAAATATCCCGACAAGGGAGAGTACATAATAATAGTCTACACGTCCCGGCAAGGGAATAATCACAACATATTCTCTTTTGAATCATTTCTTTCTCAACTATCACATTCTTGTTCGAGCCAACGCTCCAAAATATACCAATCACAATTCTTCCTCAACCGTTTACATTATATGAAATTTATCAATTAAACAAGAAAATTGTGTCACATCATTCGAATTAAAAGCAATTAAGACTCACGGTCATGCTAGACTCCGGTGCATAGATAACCGTCACCATGCTTATGCACCGTACTCCACATTTAGCAAGTAGCAAATAACATCCTAATCCTATTCCCTCAAGCCAAAGTTAGAACAAACACTTACCTCGGTCCAAGAATAGCAACCAACTCTCTAATACCGCCTTTCCTCTACAATCCAACTCCGAGACAATGATATCTAGGCATAATTAGTTCAATAATATCAATAAGGGCTCAAAAACATAATCCCATAGCCTAGAAATGAAATTCCTATCATTCTTCCAAAAACACCAAAATTCGACACCGGTCCCACATGGTCCAAACACGAGGCTCGGACCAAAACCCAATCACCCATAACCCCACGAGTTCAAATATATAATTTATTTCAAGATTCGACCCCAAATTGAGGTTGAATCACCCAAAATTCTCAAAACCCTAACTCTACCCATAACCCTTAATTTCTACTTTGATTTCATGATTTAGGGCTAGGAAATTAGTAATTAGATGAAGAGATAATGAGGGAATGATGTTAAGATTACTTACCCAAAGAGTTATGGAGGAAGGAGAGCTTGAATTTCGTCTATGGAGGGTTTAAGAGAAGAGCTCGTGTGAAAAGTGAGGAAAAATCCCGCAACCATTCTGTTTTAAGCTTTTAAAAATCACTGGGCGCTTTTGGTCTATGCGATCGCGGGGAAATTGATGCGGTCGCATAGAGGAGTGGGAACTTAGCTTCCGTGATCGCAGAACAATTTCGTGCGTTCCCATAGAAGAAGGGAAACCAGGACTTTGGGGTGAAGTTTAAAGCTGTGCGATCGCGTAGAGGTGAGTGCGATCGCATTGAAGAGACTGGTCAGACTATGCGATCGCGGGACAACTTATGCGATCGCGTTGAAGGAATTTGAAAATGCCCGGAGAAGACACTATGCGATCGCAAGAATGGAATCGCGATCGCAGAGAACAAATTCTCTGAACACTAGCAGCAGAAATTCTGCAACAACTCTAAGGCCAAAAACACCCCGAACTACCTCCGAAACACTCCCGAGCCCTCGGGGCTCCTAACCAAACATCCACACTAACTCAACAACACTCTACGAACTAACTCGACCAATCAAACCGCCAAAATAACATCAAAATCATTGAATCAAACCCCAAAATCATTATTTTTCATTATAAGTTCATAAACTTCTAACTTTAGATATTTAGGCCCGCACACATCAAATGACGTCCGATTTCGACCAAACTTTACAGAAAGCGCTTAACACATATTTAAGACTTGTACCGGGCGTCGGAACCAAAATACGAACCCGATACCATAGTCTTTTAATCAGTTTTCATTTCCATTTTCCTTAAGAATTTCAGAAAAATAATTTCACAGAAAAATTTATTTCTCGAGCTCTCGACCTCGGAATCGACTCCGGACATATGCCCGAGTCTCATATTTTTCTAC